AAGTCTTTCAAATTACTAAATACAATCATGATTTAAGGTAGTGATTGAAATCAGTGGCTTAACCTGTCACAGATTACGGACGTGCCAAACAAAAAACTTATGACGAAAGCAGTTTCATCTGCAACTCGATCCTTCCGTTCCTGGTTTTGCGTGACAACGTCGCGCAGCTACTTATTCTTATTAATATACTCTATATAATTACTTCAACCTTTTCTTTACTAATTACTTTTGTTACACAACTAATCATTTTACTTCTAATACCAAACCTTGATTACTTATAATTTATAATGACCAAGTTATTATTAGTAAAACTAAAAAACATATTACACTTTCTAAACTTATTCTTATTATCCATTGACACTACTCATTCTAGTACCAATTCTTTGACCTTTATTCTACTTCACTATTAACTATTACATTATGTTCAGACTACCATTTCAACTTTAATACAATTACTAACAAATGCACTCTTTTTGTTCTTACCAATCTTGATACAAAATTATTTTGCTAAATTAATTCTAATAAAACTCTCAACCTTCATAACAATTTTCTTGATGCTGCTTACTCTATAACTATTCAACATTCTCTACACATTTTACCTCCTTATCCTTAGCTATTAACCCTTATCAACTACCTTCTATTTTTCAATCCTGCCAGCTTATAAACTATTGCCAATTTTAACTTTAACCAATCTAATATTTCTTTTTACATAGATGATTCTCTTATCAATCTTGACACCTCCCAATGTTCTATGAATATTGGATGGACCCAAGTTCACAACTCTTTATATTGCCTTATTTCGTATCGGTATATAATTTCGTGTATAATTTCATATGCATATTATTTTACATGATCTGAAATAAATTTGGGTGGCAAATTTTACCCGGTTTTTTTTTTAATAATGTTCAAAGATAGCCGGAATTACAATCTTAATAGTAAATTGAGAGTAAAATTCAAACTAAATTTACTTAGACTAACAAATATTCACTATACTCAAAACATATAATAAATTCAATGGTAAATATTTATAAATTGCTTATTCTATAATTATAAGTGTTTGATATATTTACAAGCTAAAATAATTTATTTTTTTTTTTGATTAATATTCTGTATTAATTATTTTCCTTAAATCTAATACAGTAGTAATTGGACAATTAAATGAGTGCGTGAGAGTGAAAACCTGGAAACCGATCATAGTAAATCATTAATTCGGTTTCTAGTTTTTACTTTTACGCACTCAAATAAAAAATAAGTTTTAAAATAAGTTTATTATAATCAAGCGCCTTATTAATTTTTTTGTATAATCAAATTTACTGTATTATGAACTAAAAAAAAGATTTGTTACTTATCTTTTAGAATTTATTTTATATGAACCGATGTAATTTTACAATGAAATAACGATAATATAGAGGTATTTGTAAAAATACGCCATTTTCTGGTTTAAATTTAATGTGCCAGCTTCTGGGCCCCGTAGGGGCCCAGAAATGGTACGTTAAATTTAAAGCCAGATAAGTAAGTTATTGGTGCGTAGCATTCAATAACGGTATTATCCGATAGCTTACTATGATCGGACCATCGGAATGACTCGTGTTGTTTTGATGGTAATTACGTAACATCAAATAACTTCGTTATTTGATGAAACGTAATTACCATCAAAATAACTCGAGTTATTCTGATAGTCCGATCATAGTAAGCTATCGGATAATTAGATATATCCAGAAATCGTTATACGTAATAAGCTCGATAAAAGATGGTTAACTGTATTTTAATTTTTCACTGGACAAATTGATTCGTCAACAGTTTCGTCAGGCATGTAATCTTTCACCAATTCAAAAGTATTTTCGTCAAGCTCCTTTACTGACCATAATGGACGTCGCTGATGTTAGTATTAATATAGAAGTAACGAATTACATTTTACCTTCAAATGGACATTGGACTCGTCTTAACTCGTGATTAGCTCATTTGATTGAGTCAATTTACTTGAATTTATTTGAATTGTTCGTATATGTACAAAATTTTAAACTATTATAAAAACAGATATGAGCATCTGACTAATGACTTTAATTTTTTAGTTATTTCAATGTGCAATCGTTAAATTTTTCAAGGGCTGAGTCTAATAAATAATTAATTACTTAATATCCTGGAATCCGAATTTCGTTATGGCACTCATATATTTTCATATTGTAATTTAAAAAGAGTGAGAATATTTAATATACTTAACAATAGCGTTATTAATTTTGACTCACGAATCGCATGAGTCATTATTTGAATCATGATAACTGTTACGAAAAACGTTGTAATAAATTAAATAGTATATAAATTACTTCGAAATTATATTAGAATTGCATAAATACTTTATTAAGCTTTGTACCGATTACGACATTTTTTGGGCTAAAAATCGATGATGCATAATCGCTAACTTTGAGTCTAATAGAAAGACTATATAAGGAGGACTTTAAAAAGAAACTTTTCTTTTTAAAGACAATGGTACAATCGCATAATACTTTCTTTGGTAACAATTATATTACTAAATAAAGAATTCTCTTGCTTAACCTTACATATTCGGATTTCGCTTTCGTGTAATACAAATAAAGACTAGTTTATTAATCGGTATACTTTCGTTCACTTTTGACTATTAATCTGCTCATATTTTAATGCTAATGACACTGTGCTAAATTGAAGACAAGAGTAAAGATCTCCCAAATCGTTACAATAACCTCGTGTCATGAGTTGACGAGCCCAATAAATATTCCAATAGTTTTCTGAAATCCCATACTAAAGTCCTAATAACTTTGAATAATCTTTTTAAAAAAGATTACTTCCTTACTCAATAAAGGATTATAAATAAAGTAGTTGAAGAAATAAATTCATTATTCACGTTTCAGAAAATTCCCAAACAATTTCAAGACTATGGGAAGAAGAAAAAGAAGAGTGAATAAAAGAATAGAGTTTTGTGTAAATGAAGAATGTAATAAAAAACTTGATAACCAAGGTGATTGCGATGGTACATTCGTCCTAACAGAAACAAAAAAATACCATCGTGTTTTTGGTATATGGGAATGCAGTCAATGTAGTAAACAATGGAAAAGTGGATATATATGGATTCTGCTTCGAAAATTTAATAATAGTATTCCCGCATCAGAATTAAACGAACGTGACTACTATCATCAAGAATGCAAAAGATGTCATAGTGAAATTAATGAATTAATTGAATGGCGGCCTCTTAGAGGGGTATCTAATAGTAAACGACCTCATGAAGAAGAATTATGTGCTAAGTGCCAAATTGGTGCAAAATGTCAAGAAGCGGATAATTCTCATCAAATTTTTTATTAAGCTATTATTAAGTTAGTATTAAGTCGTTATTAAGTTATTACTGTATTAGGCGTTCATTAATTTTTTCACTACAATATGTATAAATGATTTATATAGGCCAAGATTATTAAATCACGAAAAACATTCCTATATTAAATTCTTAGAAAGCTTTTTTAATAAATTAAAGAAATAAATTGGTTATTCTAATATGTATAAAACATTAATTACTGGTTCAACTTGTTTAATTCTTAACAGAATTTGGAATATTGAATATTCTATTTTTTGCTTACTATCCTAAACAATTTTTTTCTACACAAACATGTTGAACGAAGATCTTGAATTTGTTCTCAATTTATTCACATGAAGGATGTTTACGTAATTAATGGTTATACTGGATATAGAATTATATAGTATCGGTATTTAAATAATTGACAATTTTAGACAAGAATTTTGAACTCTGATTCTTGAAAGACAGTTTTCTCATGAAAATTGTATTACCCAATCGGATTTTTTCAATTACTGAACCATTAATACTAATTTATCGGATTTTTATTATTTTTATTTTTCACTTCACCTATTTTTTTTTGTGCTGTGTATCGAAAATTCTCTAAGCGATTGCAATAAAAGTTGAGAATGCTTGCTTATTATTTTAGTATAGGTCTAAATCGACAAGTGCTGTAGTGAGGAAGGAACTTTAAGGGTATCTACATTTCAATAGTGATCATACTGATTTTTTTTACATTCCCAGAAACGGTGGGGTTTTCTTATTTCTCCCACTTCCTATTGGACGAAGAGAAACAATGCTTTTCGATCAAATAATAAAAGCATCATTGAAGCAATATAAAGGTCTAGCAAATCATTTACTATACTAAAATTTAACAAGGATTTTTTTTTATTATGCTAGAACAAGAAACGTGGTTTTATAACAAAATTTTAAGTTACTACCGATTTTTGAAGAACTTGATATTTTTTTAAATTTTGTGTTACACTTGATCTTGTAATTTGATTGGTAGACGAAGAATGGGATGGACTACTTTTAACCCCATGTGAAAATTTTATGACAACAATTATAAAATAAACGGATTAAGTATTTCTTTTTTTAAAAAGCAACCCATGTACATAATATTATACTGTATATACAGTTTTTTACTATTTAGTCAAGTTTTTTTCATACATGGGCATTTCCTTAATAATAATTGTTTACGTAACATAATATACACTTTTCTTTTTGATTTCTATTAATAATAACTATTTTTTACCCAAAAAGTTCATTTCCAATGTGCATAGACTTGCATTCTTTTCTTCGAGAGGACACTGGTTTTTAAATCCAATACTGTAATGTTCATACTATATAAAGTATAGATTTTATATTATTAGGAAGAAGTAAACGATGAAAATTTTTGAACATGGTACAAGAAATTTTACATTGATCAATATCAGGAGTAATAAAAAAAAAGAAATTTCCAATTGCTTGTTACACATTTGATATTACAGTCTATACCATTAGAAAAGTCAAATTCTTGTAAAATACTTGAGATGTACAAAACTAAGTTGTGATCATCTACAATAATCGGGTGGGGCGATGTTAGTTCAACATTCAATTGAGGTGATGCTTGTTCAACATCCAGTTGGGGTGTTGTTTGTTGGCTACCACAGTAATCAATTATGCTGCCTGTTGGTGAGTGTTATAAATACGAAAACGTTGATAAATTATTAAGAACGGACACAATAGTTAATTTTGATAGAAATTATGTATATACCATATGATGTAGTTAATGGATTGGAAGCATTTTGATGAGAGTGATGATCAAATAAATTCCATAGAAAACTATTTTCTGCTACATACGGTACATACAAATTTAAAGATCAATAGTATAAAAAATTTATTTGTGAACATTTATAATTAAATTTATTAGTCAAACCTTGAATAATCGAGATATCAGATGTGATAGGCATGGAGGCTTGCCTAACATTTTTATGCATATTAACATTTGAAGATGGTAAAGTGTTTGGACGAGTTTTTGTGTTAGCTGTTCGTCGTCGTTTAGAATCAGACTTGTTTAGTTCATCATTATCATGAAAGTTAGTTGTTCTGTCTATTGGTGAGTACAGTATTACAAATACGGAAATGTTAATAAAATGTCAAGGTCGGATGCTACATAAGTCATCGTGCAAACTCTTATGATCATAGATTTTTTTCATCTTGTTATTTTTTGTACGTTATTACATAATCACAACAATCCAAAATTAATACGACTCGTAAATCACGATCATAATTGCACGATAACATCAATATTGGATCATGCGATGATAAATATCATAAAATTTGTTCTGTTAGGGCAAATAATTGGCTGAAATGTGCCACTACGCAGCACATGTCAGCCAATTATTTGGTCATGCAACGATTAAAATGTGAAATTTGTTTTCGGAGCAAATGATTGGGGTGATATGTGCTGCGTAGCGGCACGTTTCAGCCAATCATTTGTTCCGACTGAACAAATTTTATGATATTTATCATCCAATGATACAATATCGATGTTATTGATGATGATTTACAAGTCGTGGTTGACTAACTGAGTTTTAATTCGAGATTATGGTGCTTACGTAATAACGTACAAAAGCAACAAGAAAAAAATCTATGATCATTAGGGTTTGCGCGATAACGGGAGTTATTTTGGCAGGACTTGGTAAACTGGCAGATTAAATAAAAAATTATGTATATACCAGGAGATGTGGCTAATTCATTGGAGACACTTATATCAAGGTGAAAATCAAATAAGGTATTATTTGAATTGTATTGATTCGTAGCGTTAATTGGAATAAC